ACTAGCTTTTTGGTGCCATAATAAGTCTGAGAGTATAGTCTGACGTTCTCCACACCAGCAAAATTGTTTTTTACACAGTTTTGAATGACATTTTTTAAAAATGTTGAATTTTCATTTGGGCTCTTACATATTTTTTTAAGGTCTCGATTGACCTTTTGTAAAAGGTTGAAGTCATAATATCCAAATGGAATCTCATCTTTCCATTCATTGTAGCCGAAATGTTTGTCGAGTTCATTTGCGGCGGCTACCCATCCTTCATACGTGGTGGTTCGTCGAAGTCTCTCTCTGAGATGATATTTTTCGCCACGCCTTCAAAATACGGAGAGTCAAATATTGTAATGGTAAACAGCTATAAAAACCGGCGGAATAAGGAGAAGGGAATTGACTTACCATTGAACAAAGTATTCCCACAGATTCACAATTTGACGTACCAAAAAGTAAAGTAAAAGTTCAAATGCAATTATTATAAAAATAATGAGCTATGAATGTAACCAATATTTATTAGTTTTTGTCGAGACAGGAAAGTTTTTTTTTTTCTTTAAAAAAAAAAATTACCAACCATCATAGGAAATCTCACGACATGATAGGAAATTCCTTCAAATCCGCTAGGGACTTTTTGTTTTTTCTTTTTAATCATTTGTCTAATTGGCATGAAATCCGTCATTGCAGCTATGTGTTCTGTTGAATCATCTGGATCGGCGTTAAGAGCCTTTTCGAAAGCTTCGATTTGAGAATCATCAAGAGGAAAATCCAGAGAAAATTCATCGATATAGTGCTGTGTGTGTTTTTTCGCTTTTGGATATTTCTGTGAAGCGGATGAAATCATTCTTGATGGCATAATTGAAATATAATGCAATGCAAAATGTAAGAAACGTATTTACAAGAATTTTTGAAAATTTACAAGTGGGTTGTGTATAACTAAATGAGTTTAAATAATGAAAATAACGTATAATAAACCAGTATATTGAATGATCTTCGGAAATTTAAAAGGTAAAATGACGTCTCTTTGACAATAGTTGCAAAAAGGTAGGAAAAAGGAGCTTTAAATTAACCTTGGTTATTTTTCCTGATTATCTCAACTGACCAATCATAGCATTTCAAGGATCACCCTACCCCATGCGTTTTTTATGGGGAACCCAAATGTAGCGACACGCGCTTTAAATTTTTCGAAATGGGCTATTGATATAACGTTTCTTATTGTGTTTAGTGCATAATGTATGCATTTCTTGTTTCATGTTCGTCTCTCGTCATACCAAGAAGTTGATTCATTTCCCTTTATCTTGGCATGCTGTCCAAACGTTATTTTTTTTTTGATATCCTGACGATAATATAATTATGGATATTAATTATGTTACTCAACGATAATATAAATCGATCTGTAAATTTCATATTATTTGAACTTTCTATAAAAAGTGGTTTTCTAATTAATGAATTAAAAAAAAAGCTTTTTTAAAAACCCAAGTTCATCCTTACGTCATGGGCGTGATTTATTCCATACTAAGGATCTACCGATTTGCAAAAGGTTAATTTTAGAATATGAATATATCAGAAAAGAGATCTTTTTACAAATCAATTCCGTTAAACCGAAGGCGGCGGGTTCATTTGCAAAATTCAGTTTAAACGATTTATCGAGGTAGTTATTTATTACTTCGGTATAACGGGTTAGCTCTTTTATTAAAAAAATTTTTTTAACTTGCAAACATGCCATGATAATTGATAATAAATGAGACCAAATCAATATTACAATAATCTTATTATATGACAATTGGCTTATCTTTATATATTATTAATTAAAACTATAACTAAATTACGTATTCTAAGTTTAATTTAGAAAATGAATTCTAAATTTAAGAAACAATATTTTATTTTTTTAATAGTTTGATATTAAATTTATATTAATCAATATTATTTTTTTTTTTAAAATTTAATCACAACTGGTATTAGATACAAGCTCTTATTAAGAATTAACTTAATATTTCTTAAAAATAAATCCACTAACATGATATCAATTAGCTTATACATATATATGCAGATTAATGATAACCTATCGTGATTTGTCTTAATTAGTTTTACTACTATTTTGTAAGTGGATATACCTAACTAGGAGCTAGATAGTTAATACATAGTTATCAATAGTAATGCTAGATTAGTTAGTATTGAGCTATAATTAATTATGTTTTCACTAAGCTAGTTCTTTCTGTATATACTTGATAGAATATGTTATATCCTCCAATATTCCTAAATATTATTCATTTAGATCTTGGAAGGAGGTATATTATTTTATTTGTCATTACTTGTAATATCAAATTAGTTCCTATTAACTAACCTACAATTAAGCAGAGTATCAGATTAGAATATCCTAAACTAGAAAAGCAAGAGTTTTGAAGATTGACAAAGTAGGGGGATTAAGTAATATTCAAATGATTACTGCAATCCTAAAAGCAATATTCTGAGATTTATTTTCTATTTAGTTTAAAAAAAGATAGTTGAGTATAAACTGTATAATCAGATCAAAAATTTTTCTTCATACAATTCTCACAATAGATTTATTTCAGCTCGATGATTAATAAAAAGATCAAAAGTTTTATTCTTGTATAATATAATTATTTTACTTATATGATTCTCATGTAATATTAAACTCTGGACCTTGTAATTGCAACTTAGAAACACTACCACTATACTATAAACCTATAAATCTTTAATCAATATTATTATCAATATATCATTAATTTAATATAATTAGAAAAAAAACTTCCAATTCAACCATGAATTGAATAAATAAATTTATTTAAATTTAATAAAAGAAAAATTTTTAAATTTAAAGTTAAAAAATATTTCTGAA